TATAGTTTATGGACTATGATGAGCATCATGGAGGTCCTCTTCCACCACCACCAGTAATTGGAGGGTCTCCACCACCACCTCCCGGAGACCTATGGGAGGTGATTGCTGCCAAAAATAACTTGGTAGCATGCAAGTGTAATATACACGTCAAGTGGAGCACACACAGTGGCGGAGCTGAACCCGGGCCCACACGGGCCTAGGCCCGGGCATCAAAGCTCTGTAATGAGATTCATTAGATGCAATGTAAACAATTCCTTGCCTAAAGTTTAGATAAAGCAAACCACAAGCATCACCAGAGTACTAACAAGTGCATATAGGTGGAAATAAGCAATTGGCAAGCACTTTTCCAAGTAAAATACACAAATAAAAAGTTAGAAACTGGACACACCCACATCCAGGCCCGGGCATCAGTTTAGTTCCAGCTCCGCCACTGAGCACACACCTTTCACCTCGAGGGTACACCTTTTTACTATTGGAGCATACACCTCTATTGTTGGAGCATACGCCTTTACTACACCGGCCCTCATTATATATGCAAAGGGGTGGGCCCAGATTATAAAATAACTAGGCGAATGTAGAACATTGAAGGGGGGAGCACAAGCTAGCATGGCAATATACAATGTTTAGATGTCACAAAGGCTAATGTTGTTGTCAAATTGTAAATAATACACATGCATAGCAGCTCAGAACTTGTGACTTGCATGCATGAAAGGAAATTTTATAGCTTGCTCTTCTAGCTTTATTAGCAGTGAAGAATCTCAGTTGTAACTTTAATAAGTATAATTTAATTTTTACTATGATATTTTCAAGCACAGTACTTTAAGACTTTCTTTTCTATGATGAGCCATTTGAAGTACTTTATTCTGTCATTCAACCATAATTAATAAAAACTTGAAGATTTGTGTGAGTTTTCTTAAATTTTCTCTGCTGGTGAAGTGTCTTGACAACAGATCAGTCTTATGTTGCTGCAAGTAAGATTGGCTAAGGTAGGCGCCATTTTTATTACAGTACCACACCCACATCAATGAAAATATTTCATTAGAATGCTACCGCATTAGATCATTGATTTTTAAATAGAGAGTTGTGCACACATGGGTGTGACCAGAATAGGCGTGACTGGAGACGTACGTACATATACATACATACATACGGAGGGAGGGAGGGAGACTTCGCCTGAGTGGGGCGAGCTTATGCTCGCCCCAATTATTTAACCATAATAAATGGGCGTGGTCAACGTATCGATCCAGATTCCTTCAAAATTTTGATACCGATACGAATCGATACCGTAAAATATCGTTTGTATCGATAAAATATCGATATATCGCCCACCACTAATTTGTGGTCCTGGACCCAAGCACAAAGGAATGATGTAAAAGCCAACTTGAGCGGTTCTCTAGTTCAAAAGATTTCCGTGGAGAGAGAAGAAAGATGAAAGAAGAAAAAGTCTGAAGAATTTTGCAGAATTTTGAATTTAGGCCTGTTCTTCAGAAATGCTCCCGCTACACTACAGTCCACTTTAAAGTTACCAGGAGAATCGCTCAGTGAAGGAGAGCTCATCTAAGCCATTTATAAGGCTGTACAACGTAAGATGAAAGAGATATAAGTGTTTGAAAATCGTAAATTTGGCCGCCATCTTGAAAAACCAACCTCAATCCTACATATAGGCTACCGCCTATATAATAGTTACATTACATTATATATTCCTTTATGCATGAAATAGATGGACTATTACTTGGTTTTGTCACATTTGGTACTGGTGTTTTAACACAGAACAGGAGCATTAATTTTCCAGTGGTTGATGATAACATTGCACTGGAACCTGATAAACATTATCTACTAAGATTAAGGAACATTGGTAATATAGGTTTAGGTAATCCAGGAACAATGAATGTGACTGTAGTGGATAATGATGGTAAGTAGAGAGATTGATAAAGATTGTGCAAATGGTTTGTTTTCTAGATGTTTTTGTGAGTTTTGTGGGATCATTTTACAGTTATAGTGAAAGTCATGGAACTGTGAGTAATATTCAGGTGCAACTAAGCAATCCAATTGCTCAAGATCTGTCTGTCAACATTAGAGGAGGTGAGATAAATAGGTATTGTAGCTTATTGAATTACTAAGCAAAAATTAATATCATATTGTATTTGTTTCTTTATTAGGCCCTGGCAGTCAACCATCTTCTGTTGTTGTTTCAGGAGCTGTTGTGTCTGAATCCATAAGGTTTATTGCAGGTGGCAATACATCAGTGTCACTGAGTGATTTTGCTCTCATTGATGATGCTGTTACATTAGAAGCAGTTGAACAATATGACCTATCATTAATTAGTCATGATTATACTGCTGAACCCAGCAGAGTGAGTCTAGGGTCAAACACTACTCTATTCATTAATGATGATGATGGTAAATAGTTGCTCCTTAAAAATACCTTCATTATTTTTATACATTTTAGTTGTTGATGTGACATTTGGTAATTCAATGTATTTATTCTTTGAGAATGAAGGAATGGCTCGAGTATCAGTCAGCCTAAGCAGGAATATTTCTCAAGCACTGACAGTGACAGTTAGAGTTGAAGGAGGTGAGTTACAACAGCATGTTAGTCTTTACATTACCTGTATGTTACATAGCAATGCTTGGTTTGTATGTATTTTAATCAATTTTCATTTTGTTTTCATCCAGGACCTGTTGATCAGACTATAAGATTTAGCCCTTCACAGAGGGTTGGATTTATATCCTTTGGTTTGGCTGATGATTTAATTGCCCTAGAAGATCCTAAGAGATTCCAATTGAGATTTTCTCAGCACAGTTTCCCTGATGGTAGTAAAGTTAGACTAGGATCAAACAGTAATGTCTCTATTCTTGATAATGATGGTAATTTTTATTATTATATATTATGATACAAAACTTTTCCCATTGTGATATAGTTGTTAGTGTCACATTTGCTCAGTCAAGTTATTCTTATTTTGAGAGTAATGGAACTGCTAGTAATATAATGCTGAGACTTAACACAACAATTGCACGTCCACTCTCTGTTCTTGTATTAGGAGGTAGGCAGCATCATATTGTTAGTATCAGAAAATTTTTTATAGCAATCATCCTGCTATAGAGTTGAGCTTAAATAGTACTATGTGTCTATGTATAAACCTAATAAGCTATTTACTAGTGCAAAATATTCAGTAATCTTTTGTTCCTAGGACCTGGAAGTCAGCCTAGCTCAGTAGTTGTTTCTGGTGCTGATGTGAGCTCAGCTGTAACTTTTGCCCCTGGTGGTTCACTCACTGTACCTCTCCCTTCTTTTGTCATAACGAATGATGATGTTGCATTGGAGGATGATGAGAGCTACTCACTCTCAATCTCTGATCCATCAGTAACTCAAAATGTTATTGCTGCTGACAGCACTGACATTGATATCACAGATGATGACAGTAAGTGCCGTGCACTATTGCACATATACTGTCATTGTTATTATGTATTATCAGTAAGCTGCCAATTGTGATCAGTGATCACCCATTATCCCACATCTCTTATATCTCCCATAGTAATTACTATTAATCTTGAACCTCCATCAACATGTTTAGAAGGTAGTAATGCTGTAGCTGTCATTAAACGTGAAGCTATTGCATATGAAGCTCCCTTTGAAGCCACTGTCTCAAATGAGAGGTATACTGGTCCATTGAGTCCAGATCAAGCTACTGTTGGAGACTTTGGTATGGAAGAGTATTAATTATTTACTTCACTTATATACAATGCAGATGGTTTTAACTTTACTGAACAACATAGTGTAGTATTTCATCCAGCAAAAGCAAATGATGAACGTTTTGGGAATGTGAGTTTTTTGATGCCACGTGATGGTATTGTAGAACTAGAAAAAGTGTTTATATGGAGACTTAGTGTGAATGATTCTAGAGTTAGGATAAATACTGACACTCAATTTGTAAGACTTGACAATAAAGATGGTAAGTTATTGGCTTGGCAATAGGGTAGCATCATTATTATTGTTCTTTTATCATAGTTTTTAGTATTGGTTTCAAAGATTTACATGTTACTATCAGAGAAGGGCAAGTGGCAACATTAACTATAAAGCAGATAGGAAATGAGAAAGGTGGTACAGACATTGGAGGATTTCCAGAGAATCGTTTACAATCAGTTCAATTTAGACATGTATCTGGGACTGCCACAAGTGGTTAGTTTTACCATTATGCATTATTATTATTATTATTATTATTAATTATAGGTAGTGATTTTCTCCTTAATTCTACTGTTCCAAGATTAACATACACTGTTAATAATACACTGAATGATATTTCATTCACTCCTATCACCAGTATTGATGATAATATCATTGAGGGGGATGAAACAATACAAGTCATCATAATATATTGGGATTATGTTGTTCAAGCAGTGAAGGAATGGCAGACAGCTACAATTACCATTGTTGATGATGACTAAATTTAATCATCATAATTGATTAATCTACAGTTTTAAAATAATAATAATAATAATACTAAGAATGAGAGAGGAGATTAAAGAAGAGAGAGAAGGTGCAGCAACAATTAGAATACATAATATAAACAACAAAAATAATTAGTGACAAAAAGTTAAGGCTATCTAAAAATAATAAAGAATTATGAGTCCACATAAACTTCAGTAGCCATGTCAAAGAGAACCCTCACATATGATGGTTTGCCATACCCAGTACATTTACTTTGTTTATTTTAACTGCATTACAATTCTTCTCCCATGCATAAGTCATAGAGCTTTAACAATGTCATCATTGAGTAAATGAGAGTTTAAACTTAATTCAAAGATAGGGGCATCAGCTGGTGAGAGAGAGAAGATACTTTGAATCATAGAAAGAAGACTTAAAGTAGAAATGTCCCAATTCATTAAGCTAAAATGACGTAAGAGATGAGCTTTTTCAGATATGAGGCTAGTGAACAAGTCAATGACATCATCAGATATAGTCATAATGATATTCCATTCCTGAGCACTCATAATAAAAACTAATGAAGATATGGCAGATGAAGTTTCTTTAATGAAGCGATAATATTCTATGAAAGAACTTAAAACTTTAATAGACTCTAGATCTGCAAGTGATGAGAGAAAGTACAATGGCTGGCGATATTTTGAGAAATTTAAAATACAAGGGAGGAGAGAGATGAAATAAGGATATAGCATACAGCCAGTTATATCCAATGCCTTGTTAGATTCTTGATCATAATTGACAATGCAGTGAGTGGTGGTGAATCTGATGGGCAATCAACACACAAGCTCATAGTAACTGGATTTGGTGAAGAGAAAAAATTACGAAACAATAGCAAAAGGACATCAAGTAAAACTTGATGTGCTTGAAAAGCTATTTCTTTAAAGACAAGTCATAAGAGTAAATCAGCAATCCATTGAGTAAGCCGACTATCAACTAACTTAGCATCACCGCAATAATCCATTGAAAGTGATAGCTTTTCTAAGTCTCTATGCTGCTGTAATATCTTAATTATTGAATTAGATATTGATTCATTTAGAAATATAGAAAAAGACTTTTGAACTGGAAGAAATGAATCTTGAAGCATCAATGATGGGACAGGATCGGTCAGAAATGAAATTGAAGCAAGTGGATTATGATTATCTGGTTTCTGGATGGCAGCAATAGGTATAAGATCAGATGGAGAGCCTTGATATCCTAAATGCTGTGATGAAAGGGCATCATTTGAAGATGTGTCTTTATCAATTTTATAAGAAAATTGAATGTAATATCCAGCTCAAGCTGCTTAAGACTATGGTGTGATGGATCTAATAGATATGGAAACACAATATCAAACTCTGACTCATATAATGATACAAATTTGATGGAACACTTATTCTGTACAAAAATGATATCAGATACCTTCTTCATAGCTTGATAAATCATTTCATTGCAGCTATGGATTGTGATTGCCTCAACAGTCGTCAGCAGTTTCATAAAACAATCAAGGAAATGTTCGCTCTCCAAATCAATGCTCTTAAAATGATCATGCATTACATAGAGATGCTTCAGAGAAACATTGCAATCCATCATTACCTCAACAGCATCCCATAGTGACATGTAAAATTCACACTCACGTCTTGGAGCATCATCAGGACTTGGATACATATGTGTATACCTGTCTGGAGTGAGATGAGGACATCTGTGTGTACAGCGAGCTACACGATGAATACCTAAAGTGGAGTCTGTATTGAAGCATTGGTAGATATCGGTATTAGCTGGATCACTGTTAAATGTACCCATACCATAATAAAGATCAGGTATAAAATGATGATAGATGCATTCACAATCTTTGTCCTCATATACTGATATGTTAGACACTTGAGAGAAGAAGAATACAGCATTAAATAAGCTTCTTTCCAAGTGATACATTCAATTCCTTTCTTCATTAGTTCCTCTACTGTATTAATAGTTCCAATACACTTTCTCTCTATCTTTTTCTTATCGTGCAGTGGTAGTCTCTCATTAAATATGTACTCCCATATCTCATCCATTGATATACCAATAGTAATTGGAGTACCCTCTAACTTAGCCACATCTACTG